CTCTGTGAAAAAAAATGAACACGTGCCAGTGCATGGGCAACGTTTGCTGTATGCGCAACAAACGTGCGCGGGTCTTCATGACAATTGCCGCACGATCGCAAATGACTTTATACAGTTCCTCATGCTGCACTTGCGCTCGACCGTATGCGTTAAGAAGCACAGCACATGAAACAGTGTCCAAGGTCGGTGCCAGTTTGATAAGGGCGCGGATGTAAGTAAATAAAATATCATACAGATGTGGAGACCGTAAAACGAGACAGGCATGAACAATGCGCGCCAAGGATGGAGCATCCATCGCCTCCACCGCCTCGCGAGACAAGCTGCGCTCAACCACGGCGGCAAACGGCTGTCCCTTCGTAGGGGATATGCGCAGTTGCGTCGCAGCGTGGCAGACCGTCCCGGCTACGCTTGGAGTCCAGGCAGTTTTGATGTCATCGAGCGTCTCGGATTCAAAGAGGTGACGGCCATGCAGGACAAGCTCCTGCTTTCGCTCGGAAGCAGATAACTGTTGTTGTGTCTTTTCCACAGACGCAACAAATGTCTGCGTCGACATCGAACGCATCCACAGGGCGTGCCGCAGCCGTTCACAAGTGGAGCAGCACCGCCACATTTGCGCCGGCAACAATCACAGACACCAAAAAAAAAAATGAATGCGCGGAGCTCTATGTTCAAATGTGCACCCGGCGGTACGGCAGCCACTTCGCACACGACTTTCAAAAATAAAAAATAAAAAAATAAGAAAAATTGTGCCGCCCTCACGTGTCAAAACAAATGAAGCAGGCGGGTAACAAATGAGAAAACAAATAAACAAATGAAGGCAGCAAAAAAAAAAAAAAAGGGGGCTTTTAAAAAGGGCAGAAGAAACAACAAACAGACGGAAAATAAAAATAAAAATACAAATACAAAAATGGAATTTCTCTTCTATTCTTGATGCTTCCAAATAATAATAATAATAATAATAAAAAGACAATGACCAGGAAGAGGGGGAGGAATAAAGCTGAGAGTACAAAATGCAGCCAAAGCCACAGCAGGGCAATAAACGTACACACATCAAATGAGGAGAAAACAAATGCCACACAAATCATACAAATACATTCCTTTGTTCGATTTTCTTTTGTTGTCTTTTGTTTGTTTGTTTGTTTTTTTTTTTTTCTTCTTCTTCTTCTTCTTCTTCTTTTTCTTCCCCCCTCTCCTCTCCTCTTTGCAATTTTTATTTTTGTTCAACAACTAAAAAGTACAACCACGACGCTAAAAAGCACACATCTTATTAAGGGCCCTCCTACAACATCACCCTCAGCCTCAATCGCCCCCTTCCGGTTGTTGCGCTTTTTTTTTTTTCTCTTTTTCTTCCTCTTTTGTTTCTATCACGTGAAGCATCAAATGATGCCCACACTTTTTAGGTACTGCCTCGTCTCATAGCTCCCGTAGCCTTCGCTCTGTGAGTCATAACCCGCAGCAGAAGCGCTTGTATCACCATACTCCTCCTTCACCCGACGATTTTTCTTATCACTGGCAGAGTTACTGCCCTTCGTATCGTGAAATGTCTCTTTCCGTTTATTCCCTGTCGTTGTGGTCTCGGCACCAGAATGCGATCTTCGCGGTGGCTCCACCTTACGGTTGTCCAGAACTACACGCTGCTGCTGTTGGCGTTTCGCCAACACGGTGCGCCTAGATGCTGACACATTCCTGCTATCAGGATCAGCATGGAGGGAAGAAGAAGAGGTGGGATGAATGGTGGGACGAACCGAAGGTTTTGATTCCTCTAGAGATGCACTGACGTTCGCACTCGCACTATACCCCGTTCCTACCGAAACGGACCCAGCAGCGGAATGATTTGGAGTAGGTAGCTTGCCTCGCAGGGAAGACAAAAGTGGGTTCTCTGCACGAGTCATGCGAAGAGCACTGCTATGGCGCGATCCGGCTGACGGGTCCCACGGAGCCGCAGACTCCATGGATCGGTTCACTGCACTAGGGCGTGAGACATCTAAATCTTCTTGTGGAGGCGTGCAAGAACGCGAGGCCTCCTTCGCGCGTGACGCATTTGTCGATTGGATTTCGACAGCTTCACCGCTCACCCTTGGACCTTTTACAGCTTCCCGTGATGACGCCTTCGTTTTATCCGCAGTATCATTAAAAGATGACTGCGCCGCCATTGGAACAAAGTTTGGGGGATTTGACGACGGGACTGTGTCATTAACGGTACTACCATAGGCCCCCATCGCCGCGGGCACTTTGGACAGTCCGGCTAGCGTCAAATGAAGTTGCTGCATTGACAACGCCATAGACTGGAGCTGAATCTGTATAGCCTGTTGCTGCTGGTACAATAACTGCAGCATAAGTCTATCCTCCTGCGTGAAAGCGTTGCCGCTCTCCACCGGTCGCTCGGTAGAGTGAAATAAGTTTCTGGCCGGAAACGCCGCCAACGGGGTGGTGAAGAGGTTCGGTACTCCGGTCGGAAACGCTGCCGACATGCGAACAGAGAAGAGAGGGGCGGCAGCTTCTAGGCAGGGGAGGGGAAAAAGCAACACAAAAAGCCAAAAAACAGCCTCTCAGCACAAACACACACACACCCGGCCATTTTTTGTGGAAAAAAGACAGAAAAAAGACAGAAAAAAAGAGAAAAAAAAAGAAAAACAAAAAATCAAGCAATTACATAAGGAAAATGAACCCATAGAGAAAAGGGGAGAAAGAAAGACAAAAAAAATTTTCTTTGAAAAAAGCCGCGTGCTCGTTCAGTTCATTTCCCAACCACCACCATCACCGCCGGTCTATTCCACTTTCACTCATCTGCCCGTGAGTCGTAAAAAACGGAATGAGCAGCCACTCCCAGGAACACTTTCACCCGTCCTTCTTCCTCAACGGCTCCCGTTCCCACTCCGTTGCTCGCCCATTTTCTCCACAGACAAACCCCACAACTCCAAAGGAAATGAAAAAAATAAAACAGAAAGGGGAGGGAAAAACGGGTTTCACACACCTCCAACAAGCACTCAGAGAAACAGTAAGGGGCAACCAACTACTTTAAAAAAAAAGTGCATTTCGTGTCCCTCCCAATATGAGGAAACCCCCTCCAGCGCATGTCATTGAAGCTTATGACGGCAATGAGTGGATAAAATCCTTGGAATCAATCATGCTGGTAGAGAGCAGCGTGACACGTGCCTCGATCTTCTCCGTGTATGGCTCACCCGACGCACTTTTAGCAGTCGAATCCCCGCTCACAAGACGTGTCACATTTTTCCCCAAATTCATCAACGACTCCACGTTGTTGGACACTTGGCCTTGATTAATTTGGTACAGAAGCATCGCCTCTGAGTATGTGACACCACCCACCATCACAATAATAATATCCTTCGCACGAATAGTGGGCACTGCGGAAGCTGAAATGGGGGAACCCACCACCTCCTGCACCGGGTACTTTTGCTCCGACAGTGTGCCATTGTAGACCCTATTGATAACTTTCTTCATGAGAGGAACGTGCTGTGTCAAGACGTTTTGAATGTCTTTTCCAAATTGGCCCACTGTCTTGGCAACAATCTTCAGAATGTGCCCCGTGGACGTACGGAACAGTTCGTGCAGCCGTTTATCTGCACCGCCGTACTCCAACAAGCGATCAATAAGTGATATTCTTTCCATCGGGCAGTTGCGTTTCAGTAACATTTCCTTCAATTGTGCAATATTATTCCCACCGACCTTTTCGTAGCGTAATGCGTAGAGCATAACCATGCGCAGGGCGTCGTCAATGTCCGTCTTTGGATCCTGCACAACATCCATCATCTGCCTAGAGTGTTCCGTCACGTTGCTGGAGGCGAGCATTTCCTGCTCCAAGACGGACAAATGCGTCAAATTACGTCCATTTACTTCTGTTACCAATTGACTTGCAATTCCACAGTGTCGTGTCACCTGCACAGACTGCTTGCGTGCCTCGGGAAAGCGACTAATGAAGTTTTTAATCTCGTCCAAAGACACACTATTCCTGTCAAAATTATTCAAAGCCTTGTAGGCCTTCACCAACTCACTCACCGCAATACACACCTGTCCATAATCACTGTAGCGATGCTGGGCAAAAAATGGATCGGCGTGCGCCGTGAGAATGTGCACACGCTCCTCGGGTTTGGCATCAGGGTCATCAATGGTAACTTCGTTTCCACATTGAAACCCGATAATTTCATGTATCATCGCCTCGTAGGTCCATGGTATGACGAGAGCGGTAACAGGGTCGTCCATCCTGTCCAATATCAACAGGACCGAGTCCTTTGCCTTGAGGTCAGGAAAATTTTGATGCACAGTTGTCATCTTTCCTGCCACAAGTTTTGCCAGCTTCTCTGTGACTTTGTTCTTTCCACGATAACGGATGGCCGGACGACGATTTGTCATGAGCAATAGACCTACAATAGCCTCCGTCATGCGATCAAATGACGTGGTACTCCATTGTGAATATGTGATGGGGTTCACAGTGGGAGCAACAGCAGAGCGGAGCGCTGTGGGCTTTAGCTGCGCAATATTCACGTACTCTGTGAGCGGCACAGTGTCTAAATAAATCTCATTAACAGCCGTTGTCAGATTCAAAAGATCGGCATTTGCCAAAGATTGCACAATATTCGATTCCAAAAGGTACGAAAAACAGAGTGAATAGGAGGCAAAGTTACCCTCCGCCAGCTCTTGATAGACGCAGGCCAACGAGGACGGTGATGGTCGGCAAAAGATGATACAATGAAGGTGCTTCATCGGGTAATGCTCCCGATTACTTAGCATGTCCACAAGCACCACATTGTGCTGAAGAAGCTGATGTTGCGAATACACTACAGACAAAATATTGCGGGTTGCATCATCGCACAGCAAAACTTTAAGACCGTCCGGCCCATCCAGGATCCGATCAATGTATGCCCACGCCTGTTCGATGCAGTTGAAACGAGCTCGCGTGGCGAGAGACATCGGCTGACGAAGGATCACAGGAAAAATAAAATAAAAATAAAAATAAAGGCAAATAAGAAAAAAAAAAAAACGCAAAACCGGAAAAAATAAAAATAAAAAGCATAAAACAATCATACACAAGAGGCACAATACACAACTAGTCATCAGCCAGCCAAGAATGCAGTCCAGCGAATTCGCAAACAAATGCTTCCAGGAATAAGACGTACTTCTCCCACCATTGTCATTCCCCCCTCGGTTTCTTGGCAGCTGGAGTTGCAGCGCTTTCTTCACTTCGAACTTGCCCGCTTCTTGCCGCATCATTGTGTTTAATGGCGTTGGAAGACACTACACCCAATGTAAATTCCCTATTGGGGATACACGCAACCATCTCCACAGCCGCAACACCACGCATTGACTCCTGTTCCTCCAAAGGTAACGCAAAGATCTTCGCCAAATCCTCATAACAGGTGGCTTCTTGCTGGACAGCAGTCATCAAGTGCCTCAACGCAGGGATGCACGGAATGGAGCGGGTAAGATGATACTTGACGTACGTAAAGGGTGTGCAGTACTTCGCGTGGGTCCGCAGCAACGCCCTGTACAGATCCATCCATGACGTAGACGCCAACGGCGCCTCAGCATCTTCACTACTCAAACTGCTGCGTCTCCCCGCAGAAGAAACGTGTCGAGAAAACACAGACATATCCCACATCGCGTGGCGTGCAATCATAACCGCATCAAACCCAAATTGTGCCATTTTAACTGCACCGTCATCGCGAGACCTCACAGACCCGTTAAGAACAAAACACATTTCTTTGAATAATGGATGACTGCGAAGTCGTCTCACAGCCTCCGCCGCGCGATCATAATGCGGTGAATCTTCTGCTACCTGATTCACCGTACGGGCGTGCAGAGTAATTGCATTGACGCGATTGGCGCCCACCTTCTCCATAATGGAAATCAGCATGTCTGCCGTTGCCTCCGCTGTTTCCAGAAGTCGAGTTTTAAAACTCAGTGGCACCCGGCGACCACGGGCCGCCAACTTATCAGGAGCGTTTAGGGCATCGTCCAGGGCAAAAAGGATAGACGCCGCCTTGGATGTGTCCCGCATTAGTGCGGCTCCCATTCCATTATCAACACTAAACTTTTTGGGGCATCCCATATTGACATCTATGCCATCCACATCCTCACAGCACAACAACGCCGCCGCAACCCCCACGGCCGCGTCTGACACGCCGAGCTGTAAAACTACTGGTGCACCCTCGCCGCTTCGACTCGTCATGTCACGTGCCGGTGTGGTGAACACAACGCTTCGCTTGTACTGGTTCTTAAAGAGCTCGTAAGCCACAAATTCAATCATGGGACCCGCGGCGTCATTGTGCACACGAACCTCGCGATGGCAACGTGCCAGCTTGGCTGCCACAACCTCCTCCGTAAACACAACATCCGCCCCCTGCGCCGCGCAGAAAACGCGAAACCCCACGTTCCCAACACGCACCATCGGGGCCAATATTGTCTTCCCCTGGTAAAGTGACATGGCTTTCGCTTGTGATGACAAATCGATGCATGCAAAGAGAGTGTGTAGGGAAGAAAAGGGGACAATCACACAAATCGGTAGTCCTAGTTCCGTACCACATACCACACGTCGACTCCGCCCTCACGGCAAAGTGAAGAAAAGCAAAGATACCATAGAATCAAAAGTTTCAACATCTCCCTTTTTCTCCTAGAAATAAACGGCAAACCCCCCATAGGAATAAAAGCTCCTCCAGAAGAGACACTACCTACTATCGAGTACTCTCTCACCCTTTATTCCTCTCTTCTCCTTCCTCTATCTCTCTATCTCCCTCTCTCTCCGATTATCACACACAGAGAATACAATTATTCCCATGAACAGAAAGTCACTCACTGCTTCCCTCACATAATCCCCCTTTTTTTTTCCTTCCATAACCGCAAAATACAGATCAAACCCTTATTAAAACAATAATATCCTAAAATTTGCCTACTCAGCGTTCAGGTAGACAGCAAACTCGTGGAAGTCACGGTCAAATTCGGCCTCAATCTCGGCAAAAGTGTATGCGGGGCCCTCATCCGCGGCGGGCTCATCTGTCCAATCCGGGTGCATCACCAACCATGGGCGGTTGTGAATATAAAACCACTGTTGGCACATGGGGCACTTGTTCTTGGTATAGCCCTTCATCATCATGTAGTAATTAGACTGCGGTACATGAGGGGCGCAGTTACCAAAGCACAACACAATTTGCTGATCGCCAGGGTTGCCTACAGCTTCAATGCGTATAGGCCGCTCCTCGCTGCCAACTGGTGGCTCGTAGAGGTGGTTTACTGCAACATATGGACGTTCGTTCCACTCCTCACGGTCATGCTCCTCCAGAATAAGAGTGTCATCCGCCTCAAAGAAGTGCCAGACCTTGGCAGGCTCCTGCCAATAAAGACGGCCGGAACCCGTGACAACATCGTCGTAGACTGGAAGAGATTGATCCATCAACTTGCTCATAAATGGACTTTTACGCCATGTATCTGGTGGCTGTTGAAGCTCATTCAGGCTGTGAGGCTGTACGGGGTACGCCTTGTCTTGATACGGTGTAGGGCCCGAGCCTCCCCCCGAAAAGAGCATGCGGGACGCACCCAAAAGAAAAACTGTGGACCTGCGCAACATGTCTAGTGAATACCTGAATAATTTTTAATATTCCTGTGAAACAACAACACGCAGAATTAAATAACAAATTAAAAAAAAAAAGTAAATAAGAGAATTATATTTCATGTATACATACATAAATGGATATAATCCCACAAGTAGATGTCGTTTACAAGCAATATCCCCCAAAATGTGTTTTGAATACAGCTCCACATCCGTTCATTCATACGTGTGTGAAAATATGGAGTGAGAGAGAGAGAGAGAGAAAGAAAAATAGAGAAAAATAAAGAACCGTAAACAATGAAAACATAAATAAACAAAATAAACATGAGAGAGAGACAACAATGAGAAATAAGTACAAAATTTGCTCATATTTTATTCTTGAAAATCCGCTCAAAAAAATTTTCTTCCTCACAAGTCACACACACACACACTGATCGAGAAAAATAAATAAATAATGAAAAAAAGAAAAAAAGAAAGGAAAGAAACATCACAGGATAAAAACAATATCCCAACCTTTTGTCAGAGAGAAAAAAAAAAAAAAAAAGGGCGCAAAGGGGGCAGAAAGTCCTCCACAGGGAAAAGGGTACAAAAATCAGCAAATTTCCCCTTCGTAATGCTAAGAATGAATACATATCCATATATACATGTATATACATATACATGTAAATATTTTATTTTCTTTTTTTTTTCTTTTTTTTTTTTTCTTTTTTTTTTTTGAACGCCGTCCAACCAACAATAAAAAATATATAGATAATCAAATAAAATACAAAGGAAATCACGGGAACAGAAACAGCCCACACAAAGTGAACAATGCATCAGCGGCCGGTGTGACTTCAAAGAAAAAAACAAAAAAAAAGCTCGCCTCGTTCAAATGAACATGAAGCCGGGATACCCGCGCGTCGCTGACGAATGGGAGGCTCCGCCGGGCCCAAAGGGAGTGGGCGGAATGGAAAGCCCAAAGCCCCCACCACCTTCCCGAGGCCCCGTCACGCCCATTTTATAATCCGCCAAAGAGAAGCCACGGAAACAGTAAACAGTAAAGTATTCCGCCCGGGGAAATAAACGTTCAACAGCCCTCATCTCCATCCATATTTATCCCACAATTTTCCACTACAAAAAAAAAAAAGAAAATTCCCCCAGATAAAAAAAAAAAAAAAAAATTCAGCTATTTATCAGGAAAAAAAAGGAAGGGTAAAAAAGTGGGGAAACGCATGGAGCAAATGTGCATGCACGCATACGTATTGAAAAAGATGGGTATACATATAATCATCTCTACATGATGTTTGGTTGCTTTTGACTGGTAGACTAAAATTCAAAAATAACACTCAGAGAAGCACGAGAGACGCTAGTTGATCTAGGCTCGACCAAAAGCCTGGAGCATTCCCAGACTCGTTGTATTATCGTTGATTATTTTACCACCGCCACCACCCAGGCCGCCGCCCCCAGCGAAACGTTCCCCGCCGCCGCCAAAGGCACTTCCATGACTTCTTCTAGGCGGCGCTCTTCGGCCAGCCAGTGGTTGCCTAAAATTGGGAACCTCGATCGGTTGCATTGTCCGCTGCTGACGCATCTGCATCCCTTTTTGATGCCTCACGACAGCAGGTGGTGCACGTTGTCGGCTCTCTACCGGGACACGTTGCGACTTCGCAACGGTTCCCCCCCACATTGCCCGGCTAGCGCCCGCTGCACCTCGTGCTGCACGTATGGCTTCCATAAATTCACGATGCTGCTCACGCCACCGTGTCTTCGGTATACCACCAGACGCCGGAAATCCGCCGGTCAAGGATTTTAAACGCTTGCCTTTCTTCCCGTGCGAATATCCAAATCCACCACCAATGCCGCCATCATCGTCAGCAACAGTGCGTTGCTTGCTACTGTCAAAAACCTTACGTTTTACATTGCCCTTGCATACACTCTCATGGTAGGCAATACGATCAAATAAAAACCTTCGGCCGCAACGTGAGCACGGGTGTAAATTCATATTCCCTTCAGAGTATTCCGGGGCACCCGCAAACCCTTCCTGCCTCCGCAATGGCCTTGCGTCAGTCACGCCGTTGTCACACGCCGAACTCCCAGTGCTCGTTCTCCGGCCCCTGCTGGATGCCGGCTCCAAAGAGGGCATGACCGGCATCGGCCCAACAGGATTGAGACGCCAGCGCTTCAATGCCTTTTCGTAGCACTGTGGGATGTGGATGGGGAGAGAGGCCGTGCCAAAGCCCTGTTGACAAATGGGACAAATGCGAAAACGAGGAGGCATCACCTTCTTTCCCTTCTGAAACAGCAATAATAATAATAATAATAATGTCGCCACAATAAATGCCTATTCTGGTGTGTACAAACCCTATACCCTCCGTGTGTGCGTGGCAGTGAAAAATAAGAAAATTGTTTCTCAGTTTTTGAAAAGTTTTGCGTTCTACGGTCCCTATAATTCCGCTTAAAGACTGCAATGAAAGAAGACGGTACGTCAACAAGAAATCGCAAGTTTGGAAGGTGTGGGTTTGTATGCCTTCCAGCAAAAAACAAATCGTGATCAAAGGGCAAAATGATCACTTACCACGCGCCATACAACAGCAATAGCGGAGAAGGTAATCACACACAAAAAAAAAGAGAATGAAAAGGATTGTGGTCTTCCATAATGATTACAATTACTTTAGCAGCAGTGCATTAAACATCGTATTCATAACGCTTTAAGCCGGCACCTAGTGAGTTTCACATAAAGAAGGCATCACGTAACAAATAATATAATATATTTGCATCCCCACGCCAGGAACACCGGAATCACCATCATCACAATTGGTGTGGTGACAGCAACGCTTGCGCATCAACACCCAAAATAAAAAGTTGAGGGTACAAATAAAAAATTTCTGTGGGTCTCTGGATGCGTGAGTGTGTGTGTGTGTGTGTGTGTGTGTGTGCTACTGTAAGTGCATGAAATCCACGTTAGATTCATCCGCCATCCAAATAAAGGCAAATGGAAAAAGAAAAAAAGACAACAACCAATTTGCACAGAACTAGAAAAACTGAAATGTGTAGCTCTGCTGATACTGCTGACGACGACCCTGGGGGAAGCCGTTAAATCCAAATCCCCCCGACATGCCTCCACCAGTAAAAAACATTCTGTTCATCATCTCCATTAAGGCTTCATCTTGCCCCGGAAACCCTGAAAAGCCAGACTCACCAGCCCCCTCAACCGCGTTGTCAATCATCCCATTGTCGTACATGCGTTTTTTCTTTGCGTCCGAGAGGATGGAGAAGGCCTCACCCACATCCTTGAACATCTTTTCGGCGTGTGTTTTTTCTTCCGGACCAGCATTGGCCCATTTATCTGGATGCCACCGTAGGCATGCTTTCTTATACGCCCGTTTAATCTGAGCATCATCGCTCTCGTTGGGCGGTAGGTCAAGAATTTTATAATAATCCTTGCGCATTGCCTTCTTTGAGCTCGCTTTAGTGCGTTGAAACTCTCTCTGATATGAACCATCCATTTCCGATGCTTTCTGAATATCCCTTAAAGCGTCATCGTAATTATTTAGCGCCTCGTGAATGCGCGCACGTCGCGCGTAGAGTTTGGCACTGTTTACGCCATTCTGAATAGCAAACTCGCAATCAAGCAAAGCGCTTGAATATTCTTTTAGCTCCATTTTTGCAGCAGCCTGGTTGGCACGCAGGGTGGCTACCATGCGCACATTGGTCAAGTCAAGCTCGATAGCAGCCGTGTAAGCGTTAATGGCATCACGATAACGTTTCTCTCTATAAGCGGCATTGCCACGTTCCTTTTGGGATTCCATC